CACAGGAACAGGAAACTTCCAGGCAGGGCTAGAGGGTATAAAAAGACCATCTGCCCATGTGCTCACTCTCTTTTCTTCTCCTCTGCTGCTTATCTGTCTTCTGCAATAAACTGTAACCTTCTTCCCAAAGCAGTCGCCATGTTTGCTTATTTATTCCCGGCTTGGATGAACCAGGATGAAGACTTACCTTCTAACACCTACAAAGCTTCTTGCACATAAAGATATATATATATATATATATAAAGTATCACTACTAATATCAATATTACTAATATCAACCTTAAGCATAATAAAATCCCTTCAATCAAATCTGCATTTCTAAAAGGTGGTTTCCTGAGTTTCTACTGGGGGCTATTAAGAAAAACTGGGTCTGCTTTTCTGCCTTTAGGATCCTTTGGGGAAATATAATATTCTGCATTTTTAATATCCCCCAAAATATTTCTTTCTGGGGGGGGTGCTGCCCTCCGACAGGCGGTTAGCATGTGACTGACCTGGGCCTATCAACTGGGCCTGGGAAGGATGGACAAGTGGCCGGTGATAGGAATCCACCAGCTTTTGCAAAAGCTCTAATAAAACACTTTTATTTCCAACAATTTGAGTGTGAGCTCCATTTCTCACACAACGATTTAGAATCCAATCCTAAAATGTGTCAATAAAATCCGACGGGACACAAGGAGTTACAGCCCTTCCTTCCCGCCCCCATTGTTTTTAAGGCAAATGGGACCTTTTAAAAAAAAGATCGCTTGTTGCCAAAAATGTCTGCCCTCAGATATAATCTGATGGCATTGTGTTGCAGTAGCTAGTGCTCTCCGGTTTGTAATTTTGAAACTCTCCTCTCCCCTCCCTGGCTCTTTCGATAAGATCGTTTGAAAGGGGGATGAAGAAAGGGGAGGTCGCAGGAGAAATTAAAATCGAGCTTATGTGATTTGTGAGCGTTTTACAAACCCCAAACGAGGGTGATTTGTGTCCTCTCTCTCCTCGTTTGACTACCGTAATGTTGCAAAAGCAAAGAGCAATAAAAACATACACACACTCTAGAACCGGGATAGACCGGCAACCTGGTGATATCAGAGACAGCGAGACCGAAGCCCTGCAAACATGTTTCCTTTTTTTCCCAACCCCCATCAGGGGACTTGTGAAGAAGGGCTGTGGGGTTGCCTAAGGATCCGGGAGCCGAATAGACCGACTGATTGGAAGATAAAAAAGCAGAGATGGAGGCGGGGGAAGAGCGAGCTCTCTGCGGGGACTGGAGCGAGTCCACGCCCGGGGCCAGAGCTGCAGAGCTGGCGTGTATTCAACCAATGCTTCCCAGCTAAAGCAAGCACAGGAAAGAAGAGAGGGGAAAGGACGAGGGAGAGCTTTTCTCCAAAGCAGGTAGGCTGCAGACGTAGAACGGGGCTAAAACTCTTCCCTCAAATCGACTCCAGGATGGAGCCCCCGTTGCAAAGGAGGGTGGGTGGGCAAGGACGGATCGGGGGTGGGGGTGGGAGGAGGCACCAGCCAAAGCACTGTTGCTAGCTTTGCGGCAGTACGAGTGCATGTGGAGCTCGCCATTAATCCGACACTGCGATCCGACATATGGGGCTGGAGGGAGGCCCTTTTGTTACCTCCTCGGCTCCAGCTGTGGAACAGCGCAGGCAGGTGGCACCACCACCATCCGTTGCCGGTTTTTCCGCCCAATATCTTCCGTTTCCTCGGTAAGGTTAAAAATAGGGGGCTCGGTAGAATTTTTCGGGGCGCGTACATTAAAAAAGCGAAATAACATTTTGAAATTTTAATACTCCTTTTTCTCAAACACATTTTAGAGAACCCGGGTGTCTTTAATGCCGCCGTAAGAACCCATGTTTCAAAATAGCATTTTTTGCAAACGCGTTTGGGGTTGCGTTTTCCCCAAGGAGTCGATCGGAGCCTTGGTAGATGCAATCGAATCGGGGGCCCTTCCGTCTTCCGCGCGTCTTCTAGATAGGCCGCGCCGCGGCATTCGGCCATAAAAGGGCGAGAGCAGAAGGCGGCGGCTGTCTCAGTCGGAACGGAGGTAGATGGAAAAACTAGGCGGTACAAACTGCGGCGCAGAGATTCCATCTCCTGCTGCTCCAACCCAAGCTGCTTTTAGAACCAAAGTGGCGCTGCCAAGGTGTGAAAGGAGCGGAGCGGTAAAAAGAAGCCGCCGCCTTGTAAAGCCTTTCTCCTCGCCTTCAGCGTGAAGGAAAACAAATGCTGCGGGGGAAGTCTTGGTTTTTTCCCGCCTTCCCACGGTTGCTGCACTGTGGCTTTGTAAATTACGTGCAAAGCATTTTGTCTCCCGCTTTGGATTTCTCTTACTTTACCGCGCTGATCAGCCTGACGAGGTCTGACACCAGCATGGCCTTTTCGACCGGTTAGAGCCAGCGCGCGCTCCGCCATCCGGAGGGTGGATTCATGCAGACGAATTGCCTGGCGTCTCTCCCTCCTCTTAGCTCTCTCGACGAGCAGCTTTTTCGCCATCCCCCACCCGCTGCAGCTAGGTGTAGAAAATCGGGTTAACTAGGTTTGACTCGTCGACTTCCCCTGCGCCTTAGGCGCGCAGGGGGAGGCGCTCCCCGGGGGTCTGGGCACTGGTAGAGGGAAAGGCGGCCGCCGCAGCCAGAACGAGCTGCCCTCCCTTGGCTCTGCCTGGACACCCCTAGCCGGGTATTCATTTATCCCTCCCGCTAGCCAACCATCCTCGCCCCCCTTCCACCAGCGGCTCTCCTGCTCCTCCCCACTCGCGACTGCCGCCGCCACGAGGCAGGCTTGTCTCATCCTTAACCGCCTCGGCGAGGTTACACCGACGGAGAGACGCGGAACTCGTTTGCTGCTCCCCTTTCCTCTGCACACGCTGGGCACTGTTCGGCATCTTGCTCCCGGTCGACTAAGTGTGGTCCGCTGCTTCGCGCTCTGGTACAAGGGTTTGGGGGAGCTGAGGTTCGTTCTTAAGTGGCCGGGAAAGCTGCCTTCACCGTCCGCCTGAACGACGGGGAGCAGTGTGGGAGCTCGCCTCCCCCGCTAGATTGTCCGAAGGGGGGAATAAAGGAACGATTTACTCTATCGGAAGCTGCCGCCTTTAGGATCGTCGCTTGGACTGGGATACGAATCTTATTGAGATAAGAAAGGGATATTGCTAGTGAAGGGAGATTCTGGACTTGGGAACCCAGCTGATTTCCTTCAGATTATTTTCTTAGGATTCCACGGGGAATGTAGATTGAGATCTGTTAACGCAGTTATGTGTATATCTTGACTAAATCCCGTCGAAATTCAGTAGAGCGGAACGGAAGGTAGAAGAGCACGAAATCCTGTGGAGGAAGGGGAAAGATCCTGGAATCCGGCGGTCTCAAAGTTCTCCCTCCCTGTAAGGGCGACTGAAGTTGGTTGGCGAGGAATGCTGGCACTGCTGAGAGCCGACGGGGCGAGATCTTCTCGTCGACTTTCTTGTCTTCAAGCGTCAAGGCGGGGAGGAACGAAGGAACGGGGCCAGGAGGCTGGAGGCCGAGTTGGGGTTAAAAAAAAACCTGGGTGGCAGAGAAATCCGGCAGGGGCGGCGTCGGCTAGATTTCCCATTGGGTGGCGTCGGCAGGGCGTGCGGAGCGGAAAGGGGCGGGGAAGCGAAGCAGCTGCACCACCAGCTCGGCTCTCCCGCCCGCCTGGAGACAGGCGTAAAGGGGGAGGGCTGCGACCAGCAGCAAAGACGGGGACGGAGATTGGATGGCGATTGTGCGGCCTCTGAAGGGTGGTGGAAGGGGAGAGGAGAGGTCCGCAGATCCCTCCCCTTTGCCTGGACTGCCTCCTCTCCACCCCTCCCAACCGATTCGCCTGTATTCCGCTTACCCTGTCGCTGGGCGATGCGTTGCTTTCGAATATACATTCGGCTCGTCCGAGAAAACCAGCCTTTTCATTTGTTTCGCCCACGGATCCGCTCCGGCCCCCTATTTTTCCCCTTCATTAATGCTGGCTGATATCTCCTTTAATAATTCTACTTTGGTACCGAGGATCTCGGTCACTTTTTTCCTTTCGGTTGTGATTCTCTTTGTCACCTGTCTCAAATTATTTTATTGCCTTTATTATTGCTTCTACTCCTACAGCTGGAATTTATCTTAACCTTCCTCCAGAGATCTTTCTAGTTCTGTCATTTTAACCTTGTAACAATCCTGTGAGGCAGGTTAGGCTTAACTGTTTAAGTGATCTTGAGCTTCCCTAATGCAAGTTCCCTTGATTTCCACCCCCACCCTCTATTCCTCTCCTGTAATCCATCTACCCTTCCCCACTTCTCTTTTGGTTTTCTTCCTCCCCTGTGAAATGGATTCTGCTTGAAGCAGCTTTCCCCACCAGCATCACTGGAGGTTTTTTTCAGTTAAGCAGACTCTACCAAGCCCCATTTCCTTGTGCCCCCCCCCCCCCAATTCTCCTATATAGTTAAGTCTTCCAGGTGCAGCCCCATTTTCTGTTGCAGTATTCTGAAGAAAGAAGTTTAGGCTGTTCCTGAAACCATCTTAAGCCATTAGTAGCTTCCTCAACTTCATAGGCAATTTTTAGCCCTCCCATCAGATAGAGGCATTGTGAGGAGCTGTCTTCTCTTTCAGCTCCCACTTGCTCTTGAATACCTGAGTAGTTCAGAGGTTCAAGGATTGTTTGATCAGTGTATTAGTTTCCAGGAGCTACTAACCTAAACTCCCATGTTTGCACTGACAGCTTTTGTACCTTTTTGTGAAGGTAAGACTGGTAAGCTGAGATCATTCTTACAATTTATCTTTTTCAGGGTCAAAGTTGATTGGTGCCACGTTGAAGGGGTAAGAGGGAGCTGGAAGGGGGAGACCCAGGAGGTGTCACCCTTGGGTCTGAAAGGTGGAGGATGAACGGAGCAGCAGATAGTCCAACTGATTTAGAAATGACAGCCCCCCAAAAACAAGGTGAGAAGGAATGCTGGAAAGGCCAGTGCTACAGTAGAAAATTATGCAGAATCATATTCCTAGCTGCCACTCCTTGAAATATTCAACTTTACTAAATAAGTTGCTTATTAAATTTTAAAGATGCTTAGTTCCTTTCATTAAAAATAATCCCAAACAGGGCTTAATACTGTTGCTAACAGATAACATGTGGAAGCAAAGTTTGAAACATGTATGATTCTCAGATATTTTCTATGGTCACACAAACGAGGTGTAACACTATTCTGGTTTGATCAGCAATGTCATCTTATTGGCTATTTATATTGTCTACATTTAGAGAACACAGTGACTCTGGCTTGTGGTTAACCATGAATACATCTCAGGGCTGCCCACCAGCAAACAGTGTGGCTGGAGCCACCCATATCGGTTATTCTAAGGTTCCTGTATCATCTGAATGTGCTGTGATGAAAATACACTTAAAAACCAACCAAGGGTTCCCTCTCTTGTTTCTGCTGGCTGGAAGAAGCCATTTTGTGCTATATTTAGATGATGCAGGAACTTCAAAGCAAATCACAGAGTATAGTTTGCAGCCATACCTCCTGTGGAAAGGGAGGAGAAGCCACAGTCTGTAAATCCATTGACAGCTAAAGTATGTTCACAGCTTAGTTTAGGGTGTTGTGTGTGTAGAAACATTGACAGTGCTCATGTCCTTGCATCTATAGAAGATGCAGAAGAGTTTTCCAGGTGACAGGTGAGCCATAGCATCTTGGATTTCTCTGGACAACAAAAATGTTGCTTCCTGAACAATTTGGGGTGTATCTTAAAGAATTTTGGGCTGCTAATCATGAAAATAACCTGTAATTTAACTTAGGTACGATTTTATAGAAATCTTCTGTTTTTACACAATGGCATTGTACACCCTTCAGTACCTGTTGTCTATGCTGCACACATCAAAGAAACATATGAAAACATGGAAATGTTGTTGAAGCACATCCAGTATACCAAGTACAACTGGAATACCTGTGGAGATCTAAAAGTAGTGGCTCTGCTGCTTGGACTGCAGCTCCGATATAGCAAGTACTGCTGTTACATATGTGAATGGGACAGCTGTGCAAGAGAGTCGCATTATATTAAAAGAAAATGGACACTAGAAAGAATTTGGTTCCAGGACCGAAAAACATGGCACATGATCCACTTGTTGACCCAACAAAAATATTTTTGTCTCCGCTTCACGTAAAACTTGGACTGATGAAAAATTTTGTGAAAGTGATGAGCAAGGAAGGTGTAGGTTTTCGTTATTTGAGACAGAAGTTTCCAAGAATAACTGATGCATTTAAGGAAGGTATTTTTGCTAGTCCACAGATCAGATACATCATCAATCACATGCGGTTCAAAGATCTGTTAGTGGGGCCAGACAAACGGAAAACATTCAAGGATGTTTTTGAGAATTTTCTTGGCAACTACAGAGCACCAGACTACATTTGGTGGTTGGCAAACATCTTACAGCATACAAGACCATGAAGTGCAACATGTCACTGAAGATTCATTTTCTGCATTCACACTTGGACTTCTTTCCTGAAAAACCAGGTGCAGCCAGTGACAACCTTGGTGAAAGATTTCACCAGGACATTGCTACAATGGAAAAACAGTATCAGGGCAACTGGAACCCATCAATGCTGGGTGACTATTGTTGGACACTGCAGTGAGAGTACAAACGAAAATCAGCACTTTTAGACCCATTGAACTCATGCAGCGTGTCGGAAGCATGCAATTAAAAACATAGAAGTTAATTTCATATTTTTCAAGTTTCCTATATGATAGTCATCCTGAAATTATATTTGTGTTCAGTTTGAGGGGGTCTATCATAATCAAAAAATTTTAGAAAAATTCGTTGTCCAGTGAATTAGGGTACAGTCTAATCCAGTGGTTCTCAACCTTTTTAATGCCGCGACCCCAACCAGTCGTAAGTCGAGGACTAAACCGGTCGTAAGTCGAGGACTAAACCGGTCGTAAGTCGAGGACTACCCAACCGGTCGTAAGTCGAGGACTTTCCCTGCCCGGGAGCGCCGCGCATGCGTGGTTCTGCCCCCTGCGCTGGCCGAGGCGTAGCTGGCAAGCGGCAGAGACAGAGCAGGCCAACCACCAGCTGGCCCAGCTCAAGGGAGGTAAGGCACCCGCCGGAAAAGGGGGAAAAAATGGACAGCCTTGCTTGGCGACCCCCGTGAAATGGTCGATCGACCCCAAATGGGGTCGCGACCCATAGGTTGAGAACCGCTGGTCTAATCACTACTTGCTATGCAGCAAGAATAGGCAGTTCATGCCTTTGAAACATTTTGAGCTATAACTTTCATAATCTATTACAGGTAGTCTTCAACTTAGCAACCATTCAAAGTTACAACAGACCCCTTAAAAGCTACTTATGACCCGGTTCTGAAGTTCCAACAGACATCCTGCCCTCCTTATGGTCACATAACTGCATTTTGGGCACTTGGTAACCAGACTGCATTTACAGCTGTTTGCAGCTTCCCATAGTCATGTGACCCGATTTGCATTTTTGCTGGAAACTGGTGTTTACCTCTGGTTTCTGGCAAAAAAACACCCCTAGTAAACAATGGGTTGACTTAATGACCATGTTGTTCACTTAATGACTGCCACAAAAAAGGTAGAAACAGGTGCGGTCACATGGTGATCTGCTTTACAACCATCATGACTTACATAATTACCAGGCTCAATTACAGTCATAAGTCGAAAACTACCTGTATCTTTCATTGTATTTAGTTGGATTTATGGGAAAAGTAGTCCAAATCTGTAAAGAGTGCCTGTGCTTTAGAAATTATAAGACCCACTGACTACTGTGAAGTTCACATTTCAGTAAATATGTCTGTATGGTTATACCATTAATCACTGAATAAAGTAAAACAAATAAGGTCAAGACCCTCAAGAAAATCCAACTTTCACTATCTGTTCATGGTTTTTCCTCCATGATACAATTCATAATACTCTTGGATTTTCCTTGGCTACCAATTGAGGATGTACTTTAATATTTCCAAACCCATGACATTGCTTCTGTGATCTTGAAGCAGATTGCTAGTTGTTTTTATCAGCAAACTTTAAGAACTGTATGCTCCAATTTTATAGGTATAAGAATTGGATCCACTGTTTATCATAGCCACAAGAAATATCTACGTTTGTAGTCCCAATTGTACATTAAAACTTGTAAAATGTCCACATTTGGATTTTTTAAAAAAATGTAATACATGGATTGTTTCTCTATTGCCTGTAATATAAACAATACCACTAGCTGTTGTTTCTATTAAAACTTTTAATGTGAAATGTATTGGAACTATAACTCCCAGAGTTCCAAAGACCATGCTGGCCTTGAGCAACCATACCAAGACATTTGAAGGGCACTAGGTTGGAAATGGCTGCCCTAGTGTGCACATTAAAATGCCTTGTATGATATCTTTCCCTTTTTTGCTTTTCCTTCAGATCGATGGACCCAGGAAGACATGCTGACCCTCTTAGAGTGCATGAAAAATAACCTGCCCTCCAATGATGGCAGCAAGTTCAAAACCACCGAATCCCATTTGGACTGGGATAAAGTTGCCTTCAAAGACTTCTCTGGTGATATGTGCAAGATGAAATGGATTGAGATCTCCAATGAGGTAACCGCTTGCTGGGCTTAAAGAGGACTGACATGAAATGATGCTTTACTTAGGATGAGTTCTGGTGTAGGCTGGACTTGGAATTCTGTGTTTGTTAATTTAATTTGAGCATTTGATCCAGGAACAGTTCCAATGTGATGACAAGGTCTTTTGTGCTGTCTGCCTATAGAGGTTTCCCCATTTGTGTTTTGGGAACTCTTTCAATATATTTTGTGTTCTCAAGCCACTAGAACATGGGTGTCAAACTCGCCACGTCACATGTCGCATCGCGACTCTTTTTGCATTGCCGGCAATGGGGTGGGCGTGACTTCGGTATGGTGAAACCGGCCCATGGGCCGGCAGTTTGACACCCCTGCACTAGAACTTTTTTTCTCTTAAAATTGTATTTCTCTTCTTTGTCTCCAATCAAGGCACCCCATTCCTCTGTCTTTATTTGGCCTGCCTGGTATTGCTCTTGACAGCTATATTGTATTCAGGCTGTACTATGTTTCCCCGAAAATAAGACACACCCAGAAAATAAGCCCTAGCCTGATTTCACTGGTCTACAAGGAGAAAGCCTTGGAAATGAAAGTAGCTAAATTTTACCAGAATTGGGTCACTAATAAAGGAAAATTAAGTCCTGAGTATTAATTGGCTCCAGTTTCCAAGATACATCTTCAGGGGGGATGTGCGATTATGCTCCATAACTTTTCTGCAAAATGTGATATAGCAATGAGAATGGTGCCACACCAATCATTAAACATTTATCTTTTTATTGATACCAATAGCATAGCTTTCCATTCATTTATTGGTTTTTCATGTAACATTTTCATGCTTTTTTGCATGAAAAACTGACAAGCTCTAACATCAGACATCACTCTGCAAGAGGTTCCACTGTTGTAATCTGGAGCCCAATAGCTCTACCTTACTCTTAGGCAATTCCAAATCCCTGACCAGGTCATTTAGTTCACTCTGTGAAATTAGATGTGGTTCAGGAGCAACATATGATGGGCTAAAGTTTGGGTCCACTGAAATCAACGGTTCCGGATCAGCTGCATCCTGTTCATCATCTTTATCATCATCTGAGTCTAGACAGGAGGATTCTGGTGGATCTGGTATTGGCAAGTCCTCACCATGGGGCACAGGACACAGTGCGGATAGAATGTTTGGATATTGCAAGGTCCACTTCTTTGTTGAGATCCCTTTTGCAATTCTGGGAACCATGCAAGAATAGCAGTTGCTAGTACGATTGGTGGGTTCCCTCCACACCATTGGGACTGCAAAAGGCATGGACTTTTTCTACTTGTTTAGCCAATGATGCAGATAGGTTGCACATGTAATGCAACAGTATGTCATGGTTCTGATAAATGAAACCCATCAAAAGAACTTCAAGGCAAGAATTCTTCCTTAAAGAACATTTTATTAGGATGCACAGTATCGGCGCTACATAGTTGAACCAAGTAAATTCCCTTCCCCCAGATACAAATTAACAAGTTGCAATTCCCACCCCCTGGAAGCAGTCATAAATCACATTCTCCAATTAGCCTGAAGCACGGGCTCCCTCTCCAGCTCCTCAGCCCGCCAATACGTTATCAGTTTGTGTCCTTGAGTTCCCACAGAGTTGCATTATTATTGTGGCTAGCTGAGCTCAAGCATTCACCCCATCCCCCCTTCTACATCTGATTCCTAAACAGAAAAAGCACGCTGAAAGCAGAGTAAAAATAGTTGCAATTTCCCTTAGTTCTCAGAGCGGGAACATCCATTGTCACTGCGTTGACATCCGGCCCCCCTTAACAAAAAGGATAAATCCTGCAATTCAAACAAAACCATAGGTTAGGGGTTGCCTCTCGGCTTATTAGGGTGTTTGTCATAAAATTTTTGAATGAGTCTGTCGGCTTGTACATCACTAGATTTTACCCAAGTGGCCTTGGATAATGGGTACCCTTTCCACTGTACCAAATACTGTAACTTTCCCTTATAAAGCCTAGAATCAAGAATATGCTTCACTTCACAATGTCTCTGTCCAGCTACTACCAGAGGGCCAGGTGCCTTCTTAGGGGGAGGTCATAAAGTGGAACCCCGGAAAGGTTTTAGTAGACTACAATGGAACACAGGGTGGACTTTCCCTAAAAGCCGGGGAAGCTTTAACTCCACCGTAACTGGATTTATGATCTTTACGATGGGGAAAGGAGCAAGGTATTTTGGTCCCAATTTCTTACTAGGCAACTTGAGTCGTAAATATTTTGTGGATAAGTAAACTTTTCCCCCAACTTGGAATGACCTCTGGGGAGCCCTTTTTTTATCTGCTTGTTTCTTATATGTTTTGGAAGCTTTTTTCAGAGCGAGTTTCGTTTTGTCCCAAACCTCCCCCCACCCCTTCACCCACTGGTCAAGAGTTTGGGAGGTAGAGGGTCCCTGAGGATACTCAGGTATTGGGTTAAATTCTTTCCCCGTGGCAACTTTAAAAGGCATAAAACTGATGCTGCTGTGAACAGTGTTATTGTAAGCCACCTCCGCGAAAAGGAGGTCAGTCCAGTTCATTTGTTGATAGTCCACATAGCATCTAAGGTACTGCTCCACCATCGAGTTCGCTTTTTCAGCCGCCCCATTCGTAGACGGGTGAAAGGCCGATGACAACCCCTGCGATGAGCCAATTAGTTTAAGAAAGCCCCTCCAAAATTTGGCCGTAAATTGCACTCCCCTGTCAGATTATTTGCTTTGGTGTGCTGTGCAGTCTGTAAATGTAGTCAATGCTGCTAACATTGGATGTTCCTGCTCTGACAACTGATGAAAATGCAGCCATTTTCTCTATTCCTTTAACATGCTTTTTCTTACTTTTAGAAATCAGGTGCAGCGGGGGTGGGTGGGATGTAAGCTCAGCTAGCCATAATAATAACGCTGCTGTGGGAACTCAAGGACGAGCTGATAATGTTTTGACGGGCTGAGGAGAAAGCCTGCACTTGAAGCTAATTGGGGAATGTGTTTTATGACAAGTTTATTGGGTGTGGGAATTGTACTTTGTTACTTTGTATCCTGGGGAAGGGAATTTAGTTTTTGGGTTCAACTATGTAGTACCGATACTTTGTTTCCCGAATAAACGTTCTTTAAGGAAGAATTTTGCCTTGAAGTTCTTTTGATGGGTTTCATCTGTCAGAACCATGACAAATGTGCTTAAGAAACATCTTGGCCAGTCTCTGGGCTGATGGGAGTTCTTTGCAGGCAATAAAATGAGCCTGCTTCGAAAAAAGATCCATCACAGTCCATATCACCATATTTCCTCTACTTTCAGGTAACTCAACTATAAAATCCATAGTGATCTCTTCCCATGGCTGGGAAGGGTCCGCTACCGGTTGTAATAGTCCAGGGGGCTTCCCCAGAATTCTCTTCATAGTGGCACATACAGCACAGCTTTTGATGTAGTTCTCTACATCCCGTTTCAAACCTGGCCACCAAAACTGCCGACAAATCAAATGCAGTGTTTTTAAACAGCCGAAGTGTCCAGCTTGTTTCACATCATGACCGCGCTGGAGAGCATGAAGGCGGAGGGTTTCGGGCAAATACAACTTCCCCCCTTTGTAGGCTAATCCGTCCCTACACGTTAGGGTCGTTTGATTATCCTTGAACCATTGATCGTTGAGTTCCTGCTTTAGCTTTCTTGTCCCAGGATCGTCGGGGTTTGGGACTCTAGAAGGTGGGGCTCTTCGCGGCGTTAATTGAGACGCAACTTGCTGTGTAGGTATGATTGATTCATTAACCTCTTCACGCTGGCTCTTGAACTGAGGCAATCTTGATAGAGTGTCAGCTAAAAAGTCCCCCCCCCCCCCGGTATGTACTTTAGGGTGAAATTAAACCGGTTAAAATACTGCGCCCACCGTACTTGTTTAGCGGAAAGCTTGCAAGGAATTTTCAGTGCCTAAGTTTTTGTGATCAGTCCATACTTCAAAAGGCACCTTGCTCCCTTCTAGGTAGTGCCTCCAGTTTAACAGAGCCCAATGAATTGCGAACGCTTCCTTCTCCCAAACTGCCCACCTTCTCTCACAGTCTGTGAACTTTTTTGAGGTGTAGGCACAGGGCTGCAGGACCCCCTCATGGTTCTTTTGCAAAAGTACCGCTCCGACTGCCACGTCACTGGCATCGGCTTGAATCACAAAGGGTTTCCCTGGGCAGGGGTGCTTTAGGACCGGCTTGACCGCAACTAGTCTTCAAATTTTCAAAAGCAGTTTGACATTTCATAGTTCATGTTAGCGGCTGGCCCGGTTGCGGCTTTCCTCCATCTTTGCCTGTTTTTAATAAGTCCGTGAGAGGTAAAGCAATTTCGGCAAATGAGGGGATGAATTGATGGTAAAAGTTTGCAAACCCTAGAAAGCTTTGAAGCTGTTTTCGAGTCTTTGGGGATTGCCATTCGATTACGGCTTTTACTTTTCCAGGGTCCATTTCAATGCCCTCACAGGAAATTCTGTAGTCCAAATAATCCAATTGGGTTTGGTGGAACTCACACTTTGACAATTTGACATATAGTTTGGCATTTAGCAATTTCTTTAATACCTCTTGCATTAATTTTACATGGACGGTCATATTCTTGCTGTATTATCAGGATGTCATCAAGATACACTACAACCCCCTTGTACAGATGATCGTGTAGCACCTGGTTGATCAGCTGCATGAAGACAGCTGGAGCCCCCTGTAGTCCAAATGGCATAACTTTGAACTGATAGCTGCCCATAGGACAGTTAAAAGCGGTTTTCCATTCATCTTCCTTTTTATTCGGTAGTACGCTTCTCTTAGGTCTAATTTAGTGAAGACACGCCCCTATGCCAGTTGGGTTAGTAGTTCCTTCAGAAGGGGGAGGGGGGTACTTGTTTTCTACACTTACAGCATTTAACCCCTTATAATCCACGCAGAGCCTAAGCAGCCTGTCTTTTTTCTCTTTAAATAACATCGGTGCCCCCACCTGGGACTTAGCTGGTTCAATGAAGCCTCTCACTAGGTTTTTGTTCACGTACTGTTGTTCCTCCATTTCGAGGGGGGTCATAGCGTACATCCTCGGTCTCGGGAGTTTAGCCCCCGGCAATAGTTCAATTGCACAGTCATTTGGTCGATGCGGCGGCAGAATGTTGCACTCTTTCTCACTAAACACCTCCGCTAGATCCCGGTACTCACTGGGGATGAGTGGTTCACCTGGCTGGGGAATGGCAGTTAATTTTGTTGGTTCTGCTGATGGCTTTGGCCCT